GCGTCATTGAGGAACAAGCTCAAGAAATTATGGGTAATATTCAGAGGATGCTGAGTCTGTATCCCTGAGCACCACAATTCCAAAACATTCATCCCTTTCCTGAAACCCAGAGACTAAGCAGTCAGTTCTATCATCTGGCTTTGGCCACTGAGTGTCTGTCAGTGTGGGGATTCCATAGAAATCTGGCTTAAGACACGGAGTCTACAGGCTCCTCACTGAATTTTTATTTTGCCACCTTCCATTAGTGAGACTGCTAGACTCTGTCACTTGCTTCTGTGAGTCTTCCCCCCCCCCCTTTTTTTTTAAGGCAGGGTTTCCTCTACGTAGCTTTGGAGCCTATCCTTGAACTTGCTCTGCAGAAGAGGCTGGCCTTGAACTCACACATATCCACCTGCCTGTCTCTCTCTCTCTCTCTCTCTCTCTCTCTCTCTCTCTCTCTAGCAAGTAATGGGATTAAAGGCGTGCACCACCACCACCCTTCTTTGAGTTTCTACTAGGTGTTAATGATGTCAACTCTAGTCACACTGCACAGCCAGGTTCTGCAGGAAGGACAGACGACGTAACAAGGGAAACTTCACCAACTATCTTTGCCTCTGGGCTCAAGTTTGCCTGTGGTCTCTTTTGCTATCTTCATATTGTTGCTTATGTGTGCAGTTAGAGACCACAGTTGACTCCAGTCAAGTTGCTGAGATAGACACAACTTTGCCATTGCTGAGAAGTAATGTTTTAAAGAAAACAATTCCGAATTAAATAGATGGTTTGGAAAACAAATCCTATTTTCTTTTCTTTGAATGAATGAATGCTTCTTGGTGCTCAATCACAGCCTGGTTCCGTCTCCTTTCATAGGTGACTGAATTGGCAGAGAGTATAACTATACAAACGTATAGTTGGTTCCTGTCTTTTTCTTACCAGTGTGGGATCCATGGTCCTGCACTGCCCTCTACGTGTGACTGTCTGAAACACAGCATCAGATTCTACAGGAGTGCTAAGCTCTCTCTTTTTTTAAATTAATTAGTTAATTTATTTATTAAAGAATTCTGTCTCTTCCTCACCGCCGCCTCCCATTTCCCTCTCCCTCACCTTCAGCCCCCGGGAGAGTGGAGATGCAGACCCTTAGAGACAGGCATTTGCGAATATTTTCTTGGGTAACATCGCCACCTTGTGTCTTTTCCAGGTATTTCATACAAAAATGTGCATCACCATGTTTTAATGTTTAATACAGATTTTATTTTTTGGGGGGGTTTCGAGACAGGGTTTCTCTGTAGCTTTGGAGCCTGTCCTGGAACTCCCTTTGTAGACAGGCTGGCCTCAAACTCACAGAGATCCGCCTGCCTCTGCCTCCCGAGTGCTGGGATTAAAGGTGTGCACCACCACCGCCCAGCTCAGATTTTAATTTTTGTTTCAATATTCAAACAAAATAATACAAATACATGTATATATTCTTTTATGCTTTTCCACTCCGTGTTTGTATATGGTAATTACACAAAATGAGTTTAGAGTTTGTCATACACCCAGGTAGTCTATGTTAACTAATACACTATTATTATAAATGAGTATACTGTAATATAATGTACTGGCTAGTTTTGTATCCACTTGAAACAAGCTGGAGTCAGTAGAGAGGGAGGAAAGTGCCTCCATAAGATCAGGCTGTAGGCAAGCCTGTAGGGCATTTTCTTAATTACTGATTATTGGGAGAGGGGCCAGCCCATTGTGGAGGGTGCCATCTCTGGGCTGGTGGTCCTGGGTTTTATAAGAAACCATGGGGAGCAAGCCAGAAAGCAGCATCTTCGATGGCATCTGCATCAGCTCCCACCTCCAGGTTCTTATCCTATCCTAGCCAATGATGAATGATGATGTAGAAGTGTAAGCCAAATGATTCTCGTTCTTTCCCATTTGGTTTTGGCCCTGGTGTTTTATCACAGAAACACTAACCTTACCTAAGACATATAACAATCAAAATCGCGTTTTCATGCATTGTATAATTATCCAAACAATCACTAATTACAATAAAAGGCACAACCCTGAGAGTTATGAGTTCAAGGATGTGCAGCAAGTGTCTCTGCCCTGCAGCCAACACAAGACTCAGAATGCTTCCTTCGCTTTATTTACAACTCTATCCCTGGGCCTGTTTACAGACAACAGCACTCCCAGTCCCTGCCTTCTTTCACCGTCTATCACATTTGATTTAGTTCATTTCAGCAGACTCACACCATACCCACTTCTTGTGTCTACCAAAGTGCTTTTTTTTTTCCCCCAATGTAACATTTTCTGTCCTGTTTATACCCATGTTTTCCAGGTGAGCCTGGATGGAAGGGATGTGTGTGAAGCCAGGATCCCAATCTTTGGAAAAATAAATCTAATCTTTTGCTATCAAATATGTCATGGTGCAGCTTTAAAAAGTTCTTTATTCATTTGAGGGAGCTCCCACTCATTACTACTTTGATGAAAACTTTAGTCATGAGTGTAGGTTAAACTTTGTCAGGTGCACTTTTCCCTCTTATTCTGAAAAAGTTTAAAACCCTTCACACCCTGCTTTATTTTCTGCTAACAAGTTGATTGATTTTGCAAATATTAAGACAGTCTAGCATTTCTAAAAATAGTGATTTTTTAAAAGAATCCTCCCTTTAGTTTTATTGATCTATATACTATCTATTTCAAGGACTTGCACACAGTCCCTATAAATGTCTAAATACTATATATTTTAAGAGCATACGGCTTATGATTCCTCTGGCAGCACTCTGACAAGAGAGTAAATGGGATTATTATGTAGAAATAAAACACTGCTATCATTTTGAAGAAATCCTTCTTGAGCATGACAAATTATGTTTCTTATACATGTATGGATTCTATCCATTAGCAGTTTAGGAAGTTCTGTATCTGGACTTATCTGGAAGACTGGAGACTGGGTACAGTATTTGCAATTTGGCCTCAAACATTGAGTTGGAAAGGGCTTCCTTGTTTTTGTTGTCTCTAAGTTTGTGAATTTACTAGAATTTATTTTCCTGGTACTAATGGAAACCTGTCCACTACTGCAGCATTTTGTTTATATAGTATAGAGTATGACTTGTCTACAGTTATATATTTTTTCATCAATATTTTTTTAACCTAGTATAGTGTACAAAAACTGATGAACTAAAATTGACATATTGTTACACATGCAGTTCTAGGTTTCGTTCTCTGTATAGCTCTCCAGGTTCTGACAGACACATCAGATGCCACTCCTGCAATACCGCACAGAAGTCTAAACTGCACTAGCAGTCTCCTGTGCTCTATTGCTCCCTCTTTTCTGTTTTTTAGCTTTGGCTTTTGCAGGGTATCATATAATTGCAGAGTATCATCTAATCCCACAGTACATAGCCTTCTCAGATCGGCTTTTCTCATTTAGTAATATGATCTTAATTTCATGGGTTTTTTTTTTTAATGTTGATCCTCTGGGATCCTGAGCCAGAGAAAGTAGGGGCCTGAGAGGGAGGGGGTTGGGCCAGCCTAATCTAGACAATCATTCACAGGCATGCCCAGAAGTTTGTTTCCTAGGTTATTTGAGATTATGTCAATTTGATAACAACTATCACAAGGTGGTTATAGTGATCTGAATTGTTTTAGTTGTTTTAAAACTTGTACTTAATGTTTTACCAGTTCCTCTTCTGAATTCTTATGAAATATTTTTAAATGTCATATTAATACATCATTCACTTTCCTGCCATATTTCTTTGCAGTATTTAATGCTGGGCTTACATGTTTAACATCATTTTTGCTTTTGTTTTGAGACAGAATTTCTTGTAACCCAGGCTGTCCATCAACTCTTTATGAGGCTAAACACGACTTTGAACATCTACTCACCTCCTATTCTCAAATGCTGGGATGTAAATGTATGGTAATACTGGAATAAGATTGAAAAACGTTAAGAATGTTATAACACAGTAGCTGCACTTGACCCCTTCCATGTCTAAATGCCAAGCTATGCCAGGATGACAATTCTCATTTCCCACTATGTGGGGACAAGCTCTGAGGTAAAAAGACGAACTCTAATTGTTTGTGTTGGGTCTAAAATACACAGCCTCTCCAAATACTAAAGACGCAATCGTCTAACGTGATACTTCATGTTATTCTGCAAACTGTATCTGTTGTAGTGACTGGTATAAAGATTTCATAGGTTGTTCAAATACATAATGGTATATTTTTGGGTTTCCTTCCACATGAAAGCCAAGTATTGCAATCACAGTACTCGACTGCAGTACGCTGCTCATGAAATAAAGCAACAAAATAAAACAAAATGACAACAACAAACCTCTTCAAAGCTCTGAGAGTGGCTTTTACCCTACTGATGGAGCAAATCAAGATTATCTGGGGAACACATATTAACTCCGAAATGACCCAAAAGTATTGCACTTGGAGACTGCGAGCACCTACATCTAAATCCTCATAGCTAATGAGAAACTGCTAGATAGACTTTATTATCATCGTTATTCTTGTTGTTGTTATTATTATTATTATTTGGTTTTTCAAGACAGGGTTTCTCTGTGGCTTTGGAGCCTGTCCTGGAACTAGCTCTTGTAGACCAGGCTGGTCTCGAACTCACAGAGATCCGCCTGCCTCTGCCTCCCGAGTGCTGGGATTAAAGGCGTGCGCCACCATCGCCCGGCGCTAGATAGACTTTAATTCCCGCTAAATTTCCATGACTAAGAGCAGAAAGCCACTTTCTGAGAAGGGAGATTATTTTGAATTTAAGTCTTTCATGCAACGATGCTTGCTCTACTTTTTACCAGTGACATTATTGACAAGCACAGCAGGGAGACTAAGAGCTGGAATGCAGAGACACTCGTTCATTTCATGGATTTACGGTGAGGCTGCCGGAGAGGCTGTGCCCGAGTCTGGGAGGTGACAGCAGGTCCCGAAAGGATTTCCAAATGCTGGAAAGACCGGTGTCTCCTCGCTCCGGAAGCCCGGAGAGACACACGTAGCATTGCGCAGGCGCACTGACTTCTCGGTGTGACGAACCAATTGAAAGGAGTAATGGGCGGGCTGTGGAAAACCAGCTTCCGGTTCCGTTGGGCTTAGTCCTCTCCTAAGCTACGTGTCTTTGCCCCCTCAAGTCGCCGTCCCGCAAGTATGGCTTTTCTTCTGGGTGGTGGGCCGGGGAGAGCTTGTCCAGGGCCCGGGGAGCTAAGGGGTGGCGGGATAGGCGAGTGGGGGCGCGAGGGGACCAGGGAAGGAGAAGGGCCTGGGGATTCGAAGGGCCGCCGGGACCACCGGGTCCCGGACTAAGGGGGCTCGGAGTGAGCGGGCCCGGAGACTCGGGGGAGCGAGGAGTGGGGGGCGAGGGAGCCACGGTATCGGCGGGCTGGGGGGACGAGGGTGCCGTTGATGAGCCCAGAGGCCAGGAGCTGCGGGACCAGGGACAAGTCAGTTGGACTGGGTCGCTGATTCAATCACGAACGCGACCAAATCCAGGATCTACCTACGTGGTCTCAGGTGGAAGTGTCTAGTTAAGACCTATCTAGAGGAGGTTTCCAATAGTTCTTGGACCCTAAGGGCTTAGCGTCCAGATCTGGGGGTGCAGCGTTCTTGCTGAACTTCCCGGCCAGCCCTGTTAGTGAACTCAGTCTCTTGCGGCTTCCAGAGCCTGCTGCCCTGAACTTGTCGGTGAGCTTGTCTTGTGAAACTGAGTTCAAGTTTACTTGGTCAAGAGTCTCCATCAAGGGGTCTCTTGGTGGATTAGTGGCTCTTCTTTAACATCAAGCGTTGTGGTTGGTCTAGTATGGATTTTAGGGTGGTTGCACTTCAAGGACAACTAAGTGAAACACTGAGAAAACAAGCATTCCATTGCTTTTTTTTTTTTTTAAATCAAGATGTGGCTATAGGTTTCTTAGTATGAATCTTAACTGTTTCATGTTGTCCACTGCTCCGACTTAGATAAGGAAACTGGGGCTTACTGGGGTTTATGTTTTCTTCTGACCACCAAGAGCTGGAAAGAAGCGCAAATACCATGGCTCCCTTACCCATGGCTCCCAGAGCTGTTTTATAATTGAATCACATTCTTGTTAATTAATGTGCTTGCTTGTCTGTAGTCTCATGTTTTCTTGAATGACAAAGAAATGAACACTGTTTATTATGCTATTATAATGTTGCTTTTTTATTACTTGAATTCACCATTGCTCGACTTTCCTTTGTATGTAACTCAACAAGGTCTAATAACTGAGAGAATTCTAACAAGTCTCATGCTTTTACTTTGATTTTTTTTTTTTAACAGTCAGTCATGGATCAGGTAATGCAGTTTGTTGAGCCAAGTCGGCAGTTTGTAAAGGACTCAATTCGGCTGGTTAAAAGATGCACCAAACCCGACAGAAAAGGTAATATCTTCACCATGAGAGAAAACGCTAAAGCCTTGGGTTTCCTAAGTCTTGTGTTAACATCTGCTGATTCGTCTTTGCAGGGCTGGGAATCAGCTCAGTGATAAAGTGCTGCTGAGCATTGATGTCACCACCATTGCCCTGTCTTTATGTCCTTAGCAAGAACTGCTTAAAGTTTTGTTCTGTGGTATGAGGTTATTAAGGCCTTTTCATTCTTACCATATTTAAGTTAGTCATATTTTAGTATCTTCCATATTACTAGTGTGTGGAAGCTTTTGGCATCTCCCCTGCTCTGCCCTCTAGTGAATAAAACTTTAACATGAAATTAATGGTATAGTTATTGCAACCTAGACAGTTTACTTTGTTTTCTTATGTCATAGCTTAAATGGTATGCTAGAACTTGTCTACTTGAATTCGTGAGTTGGTAGGTTAGAACTTGAGGTAGACTATAATGGAGTAACATATTATCGTAGGGTTAGTATTGCTGTGACGGAACACTATGACCAGAAGCTATTTGGGAAGGAAAGAGTTTTTTGGTTTACATATCTTTAATCACAGTCCATTGAAGGAAGCCAAGTGAGGAACTCAAACAGGGCAGAACCTAGAGGCAAGAGCTGATGCTTGTTCAGTCTGCTTTCTTAAAAAAACCCAGGATTACCAGGCCAGGGCTATCCCTCACCTACAATGGGCAGGGTCCTTCCCTATCAGTCACTAATTATAAGTGGACTACAGGCTTGCCTAGCTACAGCTGAATCTCATAGAGACATTTTCACAATTTGAGTTCCCTTCTCTCAGATGACTAGCTCATGCCAAGTTGACATAAAAGTAGCTAGCACCCATCAAATACCTAAATAAAATAATAGATACTGGTCTTTATTCTCCTGAGGCTGTGGGTCTGTCAGGGATAGCCATCCAATAAGTGCAGTTACACATTTTCCTTGATAGGAATGAAGGAAGATAATGAGATCTGGTAGCTCATAATAGAAGAGCTAGGTGAGACTGTCAGGGTATGTGTCCTTAGGAGATAGAATAGGACTGAAATATACCTGAGTTGAAAACTTTTTATAATACTGCTGACTTGAATTTGAATTTTCAGTCTTTTTACTTCATCGTGATATTAAAGACAACTTAATTAATTGTCAATAACATACCCAAGCTACAATTTATTGTTATGGTCAATATGTTACATTAAAAAAGTTATGATACAAAGCACTATGTATGCTGATCTCAATCCTTTGTTTTTGTTCTTTATTTGGTCACTGAGAATAATAATACTTTTAGTGTTTGTTGATGAACTCTCGAGCATAACTTCATTTCTGTGTTTCTTTTAAATGTCAACAAAATATAGAATTTAAAAATCTGTAAGTCATGTTTTATACCATTACTATTTCCACTTCTTCATTTTTAAAATTATGTATCTACCAATCAGATTATATGCTGCTAACTTTAATATTGCTAATAGCTTTACTTCATACTTTGACTGCCAAAAAAGCTGATGCAAATTTTGTGTTTTATATTCAGAATTCCAGAAGATTGCCATGGCCACAGCCATAGGATTTGCTATCATGGGATTCATTGGCTTCTTTGTGAAACTGATCCATATCCCTATTAATAACATTATTGTGTAAGTAACTTTATAAAATAGACTATTTAGCAGTGACTGCAAATGAAACCATTTGAGTTGCAGATCAGCCCATTTTATTAATGTACAGATATGACCCAGGGTATTTTAATAATATACTGGTATTGTGTATCTAATAATACTTTCAAAATGCTTTTATATCTAATACAACTTTATATCAACTTGTGAGCTAGGAATTTTATTTAATAAAGTTTTCCAGTATCAAAGTAAATTAAGGGCACATCAAATCACTGCCAAGTATTCAGTGACAGACTAGATTCATGACAAGTCCTGGTCTTTTTGATCCTCTTAAGGTTCAGAGAACCCACGTTTCATCTGGGGGAAAAAAAAATCAAAATCACTGTTTTGGTAGAAATCTGACAGAAACAGATTGCCTGCATCTTTTTCTTGTTGCTTGGTACCTGTCATAACCTTAGGCAGTTTAATTACCTTTCTGTGTAAGGACAGTATTTCTTTCCCTTTTTTTTTTTTTTTTTTTGGTTTTTCGAGAAAGGGTTTTTCTGTAGCTTTGGAGCCTATCCTGGAACTAGCTCTTGTAGACCAGGCTGGCCTCGAACACCCAGAGATCCGCTCACCTCTGCCTCCCAAGTGCTGGGATTAAAGGCGTGCGCCACCACCACCCGGCTCAGTGTTTCTTTCTTGAATTATATTATAAGTTCATGACTTGAGAAGTCGTATAAGACCTTAAGAAAAGTAAGTATCCAGCTGATAATTTGTTATTGAAACACTGGTATTATTGACAGGGTGTTTATAACCCTTAGGTAGGTAACAAAGGAGAGAAGTCTGAGAGAAAATATTCTACTTGTTTTTTACCATATGCTTTTGCTCTTAAAATTCATTATAGATCATATTATGGTATAGAAAAGTTAGAGAAACCGTATTTATTTATAAACAGTTGAAAGACTTGGTATGAGTTTTTGCACATACTCTAGACTTTTTAAAATGTATTTTGTGTTTTTACTGTATGCCTATTGGGGTATATACATGTGAGTGCAGTGTTCCTTTGGGGGCACAAAAGGGTGCTGAATTCCTTGGAGCTGAAATTACAAATTGTTAGTAATAGCCTAGAATGGTTGCTGGGAACTGAACCCCAGTCCTCTATAAGAGAACACATGCTTTTAATGACTGAGCAGCTCTCTGGCTTCTTCTGTAGTCTATAATTTTGTAGTTATAATGTTTCAGCTTCCTCTTCGATTTGGAACTAATAATACTGACTTTTTGGGGTGGTAAAGTTTAGATCTATTTAGGAAACCCCTTGATTTTTATAATCTCTTCAATAGTAGATATTTTACCACTAATATCGGAGGAGTTGTTTTTTACATGGCATGTGACTAAATGCATACTGTTAGATGGGCTTAAACAAAAGTAACACACAGTGATACTTCAGGATGATAGAGAGTTCTGTCTAGGGTTAAGATGGACATGCTTGGTATATGCCTAAAATCTTCCAACTTTGGGCTAGAATATCAGGGGCAGGAAGATTGCTGCAGGAAGAGGCCAGCCTGGGCTATATAATGAAACCGTGTATCAAAAATAAAAACAAAAACCTGAAAGCTGGAAGGAACCAAGTTATTGATTCTTTTCTGTCCGTTGAAAACCTTATTTGTATGAATAATGGGAAAGGCCAACTTGGGAATTGTGGGATCTTGGAGAGATTTCGGAGTAGAAACCTGAGTCTGACTGGGCCACAGTTGTCTTCTCAGTGGGAAAGAAGTGCAGTAGCTTCTCAAGTCAGTGTGTGTTTGCAACCTCTTTCCTCGAGTTACAGCCAGGACCAAAGGTGTTTTAATGACACAAAGCTTGTTTTCTGTGGTGATGTCCTTTACTTGCCCTCCAAAACAACAAATAAAGTTTTGGTGACTTTTTTTTTTAATGTAGTTCCCCCAGA